CCATCCTGCCTGCGCGAGAGAGAAACCAAGGCTACCTAACGCTGCTGGGACACACAGCGAGCGCGGCTCAGGGCTGGACTCCGCTCCGGCAGCTCCAGCCGCCTCTCAGCCTCACTGGGAGCGCTCAGTGGCATCGCCAGGAGTCCGCTGCCCACCCACGCCGCTCGCCACTCCAGGCGTGATCACGTCTCTCTCCGCCGTGGCTGAGCCTGGGACGTTGGGGATCCGGGAGAGCAGAGCACGCAGTCTGCGGTGAGCGCATCAGGGCTCGGCCCTCTGGGCAGTCTGGAGGGCGTGCCTGGCCCTCAGGGCTGCGCTCTTGGGCCTGTGGCCATCTCTGGACATTCTTGTCCACATCCCACTGCTTAGTGGAGCTGAGCCCCTGAAACGATCCCCTGCAGGTTCGTATTGGAGAGAGGGGCTCGGAGCCTAAGAAATAAGTCTTTGGAGGGCCGGCAGGTGGTATGGTGAGCCACCCAACTCCCACATGTTCGACCATGGGGCAGGTTTGAGTCCTGGACCCGGCTGCTTGAAACTCATGCTGGGCATGTGTGTGTACATGCCCAAAATCCTGAGAGGAGAATGGAGGAGAAGGGATTGCAGCATAGCCATCCCACCTGGCGGGTGATTTCTCACTTTCTGTCTCCTTGTCTCTCTCTCTCTCTGTAGTGAGCACACATGCCCTATAGCAAAAAAATCTCTCTCTCTAAAAAAGAAGATTTTCCTGGATGGGAAGGGATGGGTATACTGGATTTGATGACCACTGTACCGCTCACCTCCCCCATGCCTTATCTTCACCCACAGTGCCCTCCGAGCTTCCTCTGCTCTGAACACCCGCATCAGCTTCCTTGTCTGCTAATGCTCTCTCTCCCTCCAAGACAGCTCACAGTCTTCTTCCAGGAAGCCCTCCTTGATGACCGGCCACATCAGAGGCCTCCTCCACGTCCCAGAGCCTTGGCTTCCTCTGTCCCACCCCTGACTAACTGTGACATCACCCCTGACCTACCGAGTGGAGACCTGGCACACAGGAGACCCTCTCAGGGCTGGCGCGGGGAGGTTGTGTTCTATGCCTGCTCTCTGGTTGGAGAGCCACCTTCTGGCAGCCCTGGGACATGGCACTGACCAGCGGGGAGGGAGCTGGCTGTGCTGCCCTCCTCCCCTCGCCCCACGGGAGATGTAGCGTCCTCCCAGGGCCTGGTCAGGATCACTAAGAGAAAAGCCTCAATTGGCCACGACAGGCGCGATCCTTATCAGAAGGCAGCGCCCGCTTTCCTGGGGGCACGTCTCGGGAGCGGGCCGAGCATGCAGCCCAGCCTTCCGCGGTCTTGAGCTCACCGTTAAATCTCCATGTCCCGAGACCTCACATGCAATAGCCACAGAGCACCAGCCCCACGTGAGGCCCCCGGAGCCCAGTTTCACTGGACGGTGTAAAGGGACGTGCACTGAGGTCTGGCCTAGAGCTGTTGGCGAGTGCGGGGACCCACCCAGAGCGGTCACTGGCCTGGCCGTAAAAGGAAACTGAAGTCCAGGGAGAGCTCCCCGTCTCCCCTGGGGTGGAGTGCTGCTGCACCGGGGGCTCTGCCTGGTTCCTACCTAGTAGGAGCTTTCTTACCTTTCTAGAACAGAGAGGGCTCATGGACAGAAGTGGGGTGCCGGGATAGGGAGATTTGGGCTCCCACTCTGGGCAGTTGTCAGATGACATTGGACAAGCCACGTCACTCTCTGACCCTCTGTCTCCTCTGTCTGTTTCAGAGCCACCGTGGGCCAGGAACACAAGCCTGTACGGCCCGGACATCAGGCCAGTGCCATCCCTACTCCCATCCCTGTCGCACAGTGGGGCAGCCCTGGCCACTGCGGCGGGCGGGTGCCACTGTGAAGTGCCACGTGCTGACAGCCACGTTCTGGCCTTGGCAACACCATCTCCCTCCGAGGGCTGCTTTGCCTGGGACTGTGCCAATATGCAATGTCAGTGATTCTTGAAGATGCAGTGATTCCTACAAAACCAGGGTCCCTGGCCTCTGATATGCCCCCAGCACCCCCCAGCACCCCTTCTGTGAGCCATGCCGGAAGAGGAACCAACACGTGGCCTCTGGTCCCCACTCTGACACGACATTTCGGGGAGACCTTGGCCCTCAGAACCCAGGAGTGGCTTGTTCTAGACACATTCTCAGACATCCTCCTTCACGGCCTACCTACCTGTTTCAGGGTGACTCCGGCCCTGAGAGTCGGGGTACTGCCCCTGGCCCCTCCCCAGCCTCTGACTGCCTGTTCCCGCTTGTGCTCTCCCCTCTAAGGACCCAAGGACACCCTGCTGCCCACTCTGTCACCCCGAGCCTGCCCGACAGTGTCTGCCTCAGTCCCGTGGCCACGTGTCTCACTCCGTGCAGCCACCCCTCTGCTTGGGGCTCCCTAGCCTATTGCCTGATTTCTCCTGTTCCTTTGAGGTGAAGCCCAGTAGCCACCTCCTCCAGGAAGCCCCCATTGTTTCTCACGTCAGGTGCCTCCCTGAGCTGTGCTGGCCCGTGTCCCCCTGTGTGATTGCATCTCTTTAGGCCATGAGCTCTTTGATCAGGTGGGCTGGCGTGTGTCCACTGGTGCTCCCCAGAGCCCACTAGGCCCTGTGGGGTGAGGAGTGGCTGCTTAGTCCTGAGTTACGAGCAAGGGGCCAGCTAATTCATAACAGAAGGCTGACTGGGCGGGCGTGTGCACGTGCCAGGCGGGGAGGCCACCCCCAGAGCCCAGGCACAGAGCGGAGAGGCTGCCTTGGGGCCCCGAGTGTGTCCCCACCCCGGCCCCAGCCAGGCGAGAGCTCACCGTCTCCATGAAGTTCAGGAGTGACTCCTTGTTGTGGTGCCAGAGTGTGTAGAGGGCCTCCTCGGGGGGGAACTTCACGCAGCCCAGCTCCACCGTGACCTCGAAGCAGTTGGTGTGCAGGTAGTTGAAGTCCGACATGCCTGCAGGCCAGGGGCAGACACGCCATCAGGGGCTCTGCCCGGCCTGAGCATCCAGAGGACGGCCAGGCTGAGCGAGCAGGCGGGACACCGCCGACATGCGCCACTTGGTGTGTGTGGGGGACGGAGTTATATCCCCCGGGCCTCAGTCAGGTCCCTCAGTGGGAGGGGCAGAGCCAGACCTTGGCCCAGGTGATTCGGTGGCAAAGCCCCCAGGCTCACCGCCCACCCTCGGCTGCCTCTCGTGAAACAATGAACAGGTTTCCAGTCCCGAAGCCTGCAGCTCACAGCCCCGGCGTCTGAGTCCCATGAGCCTGTCCACATACCTGGACAGTGTCCCGACCGCAGCCTGGGGAGGAGAGTCTAACCATCCCCGTCCTCCAGGGGGCACTCAGAGCCCGGGGAGGGGGCCCCAGCCAAGCCAGAGGCAGAGGAGGCTTCAGAGCAAGCTGGTGGACTGTGGCCTCACCCTGGCCCATCTGCTCCTTGACTTTCCTGTCCAGCAGAAGCCAGGGCCATCCTCCCAGTCAGGCCTAGAGTGTGTGTTCAGGGCCTCCTCTGAGCCCGGGGCCAGGTGGCTGCTGTGGCCGACCGCCACCGTTCCC